CGACAAGGCCTCGAAGACAGCGGGCCTCCTGCCAGACGATGCGGCTCTATCGCAGAGTCGACTCGGACGCCTGATCGAAGAAGCTCGCCCACTTCATCTCGAGTCCCAGCACACCCAGAGCCACGAGCTCAGCCCCGAATTAACATCCACACCTTACTTGTCCCTCGCGCCGCTCCTCTCCTCTCAAGCCATTCTCATCGACTATTCCTGCCTACACATGCTCTTCAAAGAACACCACCTGCGCACCCACCTCACCCTCCAATGGCGCTTCCAACTCCTGGGAGATGGCTTCTTCACCACCCGCCTCTTCCACGCCCTCTTCGACCCCGAGATGACCAGCGGCGAGCGCAAATCCGGCGTCGTCCGCACCGCCGTCCACACCGGCCTTCGCCTAGGAACCCGCAGCCGCGACACCTGGCCCCCCGCCAGCTCCGAACTGCGCCTCGTCTTGATCGGCCTTCTCGACGAATCTTCTTCCTCAACCACCAACACCACCAACACCACCAACAACCCCCAACCCAACGACACCCTAAGCTTCTCAATCCGCACGCTCAGCCCCGCCGCCACCCAACGCGCGCGCAACCCGCACGCGCTCGAAGCGCTCGACTTCCTCCGGCTAATCTACACCCCGCCCACCGCCGTCCTCGCCACGATCCTCACTGCGAACGCCCTCACCAAATACGACCTCCTCTTCAAACACCTCCTCCGCCTCCAGCGCATGGTCTCCGTCGCGACGACGCTGATCCGCGACGCCACGGCCCGCACCTCCCTGTCCGGCGACCCGCACAACATCTACCAGCGCTTCCGCGTCGAGGCGCAGCACTTCGTCCTCGCTGTCGCCGACTACTGCTGCCACGTCGCCGTCGGCGCGGCTTGGACGCGCTTCCAGGACCGTCTGGCTCGCGTTGAGGCTTGTCTGGACCGCGGGGACATCGACGGCGCCATTGACGCGGCCGGTGGCTCGGTGCCGCGGCTCCGCGAGATGCACGAGGCCATGCTGGACGAGATGCTGCGGGCGATGATGTTGAGCGGCGAGGCGGAGCTGGAGCTGGAGCTGGAGCAGTCGGATCAGAGCTCTGCACAAGAAGCACAACACGACGATCATCATCAACTGGACAAGGCGAGGCGATGGCTCGAGGCGTGCTTCATTTCGATTCTGGAGTTCGCGCCTTTCTCGCTGGTCGATGGGGCGGACGGGGTGAGGGGTCCCCAGGCCGTGGAGGAGGTGCGTCGCTTGTATCTCTTGTTCCGGAAACAGGTCGCCGGTTTTCTGGCGTGCTTGAGGGGGGCGGATGGTGGTGGTGGTCCCAGTGGTGTTGAGCCGGTGTCTTCCTCGTTTACTGGGCGGAGAGCGTGGGGGAGGGAGGGCCCGACGAGCGTGTTTGATCATTTGCTCGCGCGTTTGGAAGTGAAAGCTTACTATTGAGGGCGGGATCTTTTGGGGGGTTGGCAGGTCTGCGACGATGTAGGGTTATATCTGAATTGGGTATTGGAGAGCTACTACAAGTGGATGTGGGTGTATATAGCAAGGTACAGTACATAATATCATAAGATGAGATGTATGGTGGAAAGCCTCTAGTAGAGCGGCTCAAACTCGTTTCGGCTGGGTTGCCTAGATGGACCAGATAGGGTGGAACAAGCTAGTATCTCGAGTGGTATCTACTGGAAACATGTGAATTGCCGGTATGTGTGCATCTATTATAACAATACCATATTTACAAGTCACGGACATACGAATGTGGTGTCTACCATACCACAGAGCTCAACCACGAACCCGGCCACAAGCCAAAACCGGCCAGGATTCAGAAAAAGTGGAGGTCGGACTCCGCCCACCCTTGCGCCAGCAGGATCCTGCGGGCCGACTTCTCCATGGCCTCGGGGCCACAGACCAGCACCATGCTCTCTCCGTCGTTGACCGCGAACTCGCGGAGCATGTCCTCGGAGATGCGTCCGCGACGACCGGTCCAGCTATCGGGCGCCTGGGTCAAGGTGTGGACGATCTGGCACTTTTGGTTGTCCACCGCCGCAAAGGCGTCGAGTTCCGTGCGGCACAGAATATCCTCCTCTTGTCGGTTGCCGTTCAGGACCACGCAGGTGGTGGGGTCCGCCTGGTCCTGCATCACCGCGCGCAGGACCTGGAAGACGGGCGTGATCCCCGTGCCGCCGCAGATCATCTTGAAGGAGCGCACGGCACGCTCCTTGCCGCTGACGAGGACCTTGCCGTGGCCGAGGTACTCGAATCGGCCCGTGGGGCCTTTGCAGTCGATGGCCGACCCCAGGGGAAGCTTCTCCAGCGCTGTGGTCATCTTGCCGCCTTTCTGGGTGGGGGTGTCGAAGTAGATCTTGACCAGCAGATCCATCGTGCCCTTCTGGCTGGTTTCTGAGATCGGGGTGTAGGAGCGGAGGATCGATTCCGTGCTTGATGCTGGGTCCGGTACCTTGATCATGAGATGCTGGCCGATGGGTAGACCCAGAGTCTGCTTGTCATGCTCTAGCTGGAAGGTGAAGATACGCGTGTCCCATGATACTTCGGTTTTCTTGGTGAGTGTCATCTTCGACCACGCTCGTGATTGGAGGAACTCGGCGCGTGGCTCGCTGGATTCCGGTGCGTTGTCATTCTTAAGTGCCTCCAGGGAGGCCTTGTCCATCGTACCGATGTGATAGTCGGGCATCATCTTCTTCGCAGTTTCACTGTCTATTGGCGGGTTAGCGTTCGAACGGGTGTTGTGAAGTACTAGTCTGACTTACGGATCGCGAGAAAATCCTCTGATACATCCAGTCCGGCGGATGAGATGATGCTCTGGGCCCCACCAGGATGGCCTTCGAGAAAAGCGGTGCCGTCGTAGACTTCGCCATTCACAACAAACCAAGGCTTTTCCTCACTGGAATTGCTCTTGAAGTCTTGCAGATCAATCACACGGGTCATGCCTTCTTTCTTCATGTTGATCTCCTTCTCGACCTCAGGCACTGCTGGCTCTTCTCCTTCGTGACGCTCGCCCCAGTTGCCATTCGCCAGGTCACCTCCCGCCTTCTTGACACGCTCCATCCAGCCACCAGGACCAGTAGGATCAGTCGGATGCTCGAAGAAGAGCATTCCATTCTCCTTTGTGATGCTCACACGGAACCAAGGATTGTTCATCATTCCCAGAACAGACCAGTACATGTCACGTGGCTGAATACTTAGGGCTTCGTCCATTGCCCGGACGAGAATGGCATCGGTGTCTGCAAGCTCAGGTATGGCAATATCAAGGGACCAGAAGATCCAGCAGAAGCATGTTTCACGCCAGGACATGTCTACTTTGCCACCAAACAGATCGCCTTCGAATTCGCGATATTTATCTTCAGCATATGTGATGTCCGCTAACCGCCACGCTGAAGAATTGTTAGCTTCATCTAACATGAAGACTGGCAAGTGAGGACTATACTTTTGCCTTTATCAAGAGAGATCTCGACACGTGTGATTCTTCTTCCACCTCCTGCATATGCGTAACCCTTTACAGTGTAGGTTGGTCCAGCCAACGAGAGATCAAGCATCTCCTTATGCTGAGGGTATACTACAGAAGAGTTGACGTTGAGATCGTAGATTGCATACCGGTCATCACGCCACCAGTTAGGATCACTGGCAGACATTTCAGGTGATACCATTGTGCTGTTGATTGTTAGACAACGAGTCTTTCCTCGGGAAGCTGCCTGACTTACGGTAGAACTCGGTTATCATAAATATGATACCAGTTGTCACTTGGCGCATCGGTGAGAATCAGCTTCTTCAGCCACTTGACACTCCGGCCACCGATTTGACCGGGTACAACAGCCCTAAGAGGGCGACCATGGTCTGGACGAAGGGACTCTCCGTTCATCTTATGGGCAAGCATGATTCCCCGATTAGGGTCCATGGCCCAGTTGAGCTTGACAGATGTGCCGTAGTATCCATTGGGCTACCATATTGTTAGACACCAATAGTTTACGGCTGCTATGGAGACTTACCAATTTGTCCGCACCCTCCATGCAAACGTACTTGGCCTTTCGAAGAGGCTTAGCACTGCGCAGAATGTCCGCCATCATGGGACCGGTCCAGAGCGCTGTTGACAATCCCGCCGAGCCCCATGAGAAACCCTTGGATTTCCTTACGGTGTTCTGTTCTTTGCGTCTATTCCCGGCGCATACCATGGTGATGGGGGCAGTGATCTGGTCGTATTGCTGTAGTATCTGACGGAAGTTCAAGACTAGCGGCTTCTCCACCAGACTTTATCAATTGTCAGCAAATGATTGCCTGTATTGTCGTGAGATATGGCACTGACCCTTCAATACTGATCTCCCAGTTGGGAATGTCTTCATCCTTGACTAGAGGGACAGGCCCGTGATTTCTGACATAGAATAGTTCCGGAGAAGTCAAGAACCCTTTGTGGGTTTATCAGAATGGGACATTCCATGGCCAAGGCCTGATACTGGGAGCCACTGACCTTCATTATACAATGCAGTAAGTGGCGGTTCAACGTTGAACGGATGCACACCCGTTAATCGGATCAGACGAGGGTCGCGAGGAACGTGGTAATCAGGCGTCGGCTTGTCCGCGTTCAGAACCTCCGTAGGCTCTTTGGATGAAGGCGGTAGGGGTATATCTGCGAGTTCAACCCTCGAGAATTCCTCCTGCTCTACCGTGATGGGGCCCGACTTGAGCGGGACAGTGAGGATCTCCGCCCTCACTTCTGTGACTGTCGTCATATTGAACAGGTACGTTCTTCAACGCAAGGGCCAGACAAACGGCCAGAGTACGAGCAAATATAGATCTACCTGGGTCAGGGCTCCAACACGCCTGAGGGTCCGGCAGGATGCCTGTAAGACTGAGAAGTAGGGAATGAGAGAGCCTCGGGCAGTCAAGACCAGAATAATCGGCAGTACTCCGGGCAAGATTTGGGATCCCAGGGGAGGAAACTATAAGCTCCGGCATTTGAATTAGCTTAACAAACAACAATCAGCCTGCGGGATCTGGTCTACCCACGAAGCACAGGGCAACAGTCTCGCTGGCTGCAAATAGTTGCACGGGGCCGGGAAGGGATATTTCCGCGGGGAGTCAGAGTGAGGTATAACCAGGGAACAGAAAGTGAAATGGCAGACACGGGAGAAAGACGTAAGGAGCAGAGGAAGTCTACTTCGAATTCCAGTCCTTGTTCGCCTCCCAAGGCAAGCTTGTTCTGGTCCGGCGCATTCTGGTATAGTGGATAAGAGAGAAAAAAAAAAAAAAGACGATACAAAAATCCCCTAAAATCAGACTATACCATCTAGGAATGATAATGATGATTAGGCGAGAGGCGAATAATAATAAAATGAAATACAAAAAAAGAAAGGGAGAAAAAATCCCCGATGAGAAATAGAGCGAAAAGAAGGTCCATTTTGGCCGCGGAGAATGAGACGAGAACCAGAAAACGAGCGATGAACAAGGCCGGTGCCGGACGGTAAGTAGTTTGAGATCCACCAGATCCACACCCAACCCCATCGGACTGATTACGAGGAGGTGTGAGGTGTCGAGGCCGGATCTGACATTGGAGGGCCGATTCGGCCGTAACTAATCCGTAAGGGATGGGCAGATGGGCCTCAGGGCTCATTTGCGCCATTTCCATCATCGCCATGCATTGAGGAAGAATGTTTGGAGAAGACGGAAGTAGAGAAGCGAGAGCTGCATAAGTCCACATGACTCAGCATGTGCATATCTTGCACAATGCTCATGCACCCAATCGGGTGGATCATCTTGGCTTATCAGCATTTCCGATAAGCATCGGGACTATTGTTGGTAAGACCATCACGATCCTCTATCTTCACCCGACTATCAATCATAATTTCCCCATCTCCCCCATCTCCTACCCTTTCTCCGCGGAGACATGCAAAGAAACAACCCTCTCTTCCACATCGCCCCAGCTTCACCTCGCTGGGTCCAGAATGGTATCTGAGCGCTTGCTTTCCCCCCGCCCCCCTCCAGTGCCTTAATCCTTATCCATTCGCTCTAATATCTCCGATCCACGGCTCGTACCCATGAACGGTGGCTCCTACGATCGACCTGGCGGGGCGCAGAGGCCCTGATTGTGGCTAAAAATTGGCCCAATCGATTGTCTCATAATTTGCCTCTGAATGTAATGCCACGGAGAAAGACAATGCCTCAGATCAGTCAATTTGTCTGCGGGCGCTTATCAGCATCCTTGGCGGAAATCACCATGACACCAGCAATAGTATATGAGTAGAAAGCTTCTTGGCCATTTGGTGACACAGACAACCCTCTGGTGATTCCTTGTGAGCCGCTGCAACACTAGGACCTCCTGAGTCCCCATCCTCCGCCACCATGCCTCTGCTGGATGGATCCAGGAGCAGCGATCCTGTCATTCCTGGCACTCTCCACAATGTCTTCCCCCAGACGTCATCAATAATGGAGTCTAGCTTGGATACGGAGCCGCGCAGACATGACTCGAGTGCGCGTCAGAAGATCGTAGTGGTAGGCTTGGGCATGGTTGCCATCTCGCTCATGTGCGTTCTCTCCCATCTAGAATGTATAGTATGAGTGGAGCTTGTGCTGACTACCCATGCCTTCCTATAGCGAGAAAATCATCAAGCAGGATGCAGATCGTCGACAATACGATATTCTTGTCATTGGGGAGGAGCCTCATGTCGCATACAATCGGGTTGGCCTATCCTCCTTCTTCGAGCACCGCAAGATCGAAGACTTGTATCTGAACCCCACAGAATGGGTAAGCCAACCGTGACCCAGATGCTGCACATGAGTGGTAACTGACTTCAATCAGTATGGATCGGTCAAAGATAGGTCCTTCGACTACCACCTCAACACACGAGTAACCGAGATCATCCCCCAACGCAAGTTAGTCAAGACATCTACAGGCGATACCATCACCTACGATATTCTTGTCCTTGCTACTGGCTCTGATGCTGTCCTCCCCACTCACACTCCTGGTCATGATGCAAAAGGGATTTTCGTCTACCGGACCATCTCTGACCTCGAGAATCTCATTGAGTTCGCGTCAAAGCATAAAGGCGAGACAGGAGTCACAGTTGGCGGAGGCTTGCTAGGTCTCGAAGCAGCGAAGGCCATGACCGATCTTGGAGACTTTGGAAATGTGAAACTGATTGATCGTAACAAGTGGGTGTTGGCCAGACAGCTCGATGGAGACGCAGGGACGCTCGTGACACGCAAAATCCGAGAGCTGGGCTTGGATGTGCTGCACCAGAAGCGTGTAGCGACTATCAAGACCGATGCTGACAACAACGTCACGGGAATCGTCTTCGAGGATGGCGAGGAGATTGACTGCTCTTGCATTTGCTTTGCTGTATGCTTCTTTTCTCATCTGATGTTGCGAATGTTCTCAAGTTAACCATCTTTCCAGATCGGAGTACGCCCCAGAGACGAGCTGGGGCAATCCGCCGGCATTCAGTGTGCGGGACGAGGAGGTTTTGTCATTAATGAAAGGTATGATTGTGTATGCACTTCACGCCGACCAACCGTTATCTAATCAACTCTCGCAGTCTGCAAACATCCATTGAGGATATTTATGCTGTCGGCGAATGCGCAAGCTGGGAAAACCAGACATTCGGTATCATAGCGCCGGGTATTGAGATGGCCGATGTCTTGGCATACAATCTGACAAATCCTGACAAGGAGCCAAAGAGTTTCACAAGGCCTGACTTGAGCACCAAATTGAAACTCTTAGGTGTGGATGTTGCCAGCTTCGGCGATTTCTTCGCTGACAGGGATGGGCCCAAGTTTCTGCCGGGTCAAAGGCCCTCACTTCGAGCCGACCGGAAAGACACTGAGGCTGAGTTGGAAAGTGAATCATCAGTGAAAGCACTCACCTACAAGGATCCTTTCAGTGGCGTCTACAAAAAGTACTTGTTCACGATGGATGGCAAATATTTGCTCGGCGGAATGATGATCGGAGATACGAAGGACTACCTCAAACTGAACCAAATGGTCAAATTGCAGAAAGAGCTAGAGGTGCCTCCTAGTCAGTTTATCCTGGGTGCGCGAAATGACGGAGAGGAGAATGGAGACGACCTGTAAGTTTTGCTTCTTTTTCATACTACATGCATTGGCTAACAGATGGACAGTGACGACAGTACCCAGATCTGTGCTTGTCATAATGTTACCAAAGGGGATTTGGTTGCCAAGATCAAAAGTGGCACCTGCAAAACCATCGGCGAGGTTAAATCGTGCACTAAAGCAGGGACCGGTTGTGGCGGCTGCATGCCCTTAGTGCAGTCGATCTTCAACAAGACCATGCAGGACATGGGCCAAGAAGTCTCGAACAACTGTATGTTGACTTCCCCTCACCTAAGAATTGGGAACTGACATTCGCATAGTATGTACTCACATCCCACATTCACGAGTGGATCTGTACAATATCATCGCCGTGAAACAGCTGAAGACTTTCGAAGATGTGATGGGGGCAGTCGGAAAGAACCCCGAGTCGCTTGGCTGCGAATTGTGCAAGCCTGCGATCGCATCCATTCTCTCGAGTCTCTTCAACCCCCATATCATGGATAAAGGATACCATGACTTACAAGAGACGAATGACCGGTTTCTTGCTAATATCCAGCGCAACGGTACATTCTCTGTGGTTCCCCGTGTTCCGGGAGGTGAGATTACCGCAGACAAGTTGATTGCCATTGGACAAGTGGCAAAGAAATACAGCCTATACTGCAAGATCACTGGAGGTCAGCGTATCGACATGTTCGGGGCAAAGAAGCAGGATCTCCTTGACATTTGGACAGAACTCGTGAATGCGGGTATGGAGAGTGGCCATGCTTATGCCAAGTCCCTGCGAACTGTTAAGGTGAGACCAACCGAATTTCATGCTATATCGTAAGAAATGACTAACCTCTCTTTTCAGAGCTGTGTGGGCACGACTTGGTGCCGTTTCGGTATTGGTGACAGCGTTGGAATGGCCATCCGGCTAGAAGAGCGCTACAAGAGTCTCCGATCTCCTCACAAGCTCAAAGGTGCAGTTTCTGGGTGTGTAAGAGAATGTGCCGAGGCACAGAACAAGGAGTAAGTAGGACAAATCTCTCGGCTTCAGTGATACATCAGGCTAACATGCTTCAGTTTTGGCCTAATTTCCACCGAGAAGGGCTTCAATATCTTCGTCGGAGGCAATGGAGGTGCCAAGCCCCGGCACTCGGAGATCCTAGCCAAAGATGTGCCGCCCGAGAAAGTGATCCCCCTCATCGATCGGTATCTCATTTTCTATATCCGCACAGCGGATAAGCTTCAGCGAACAGCCCGCTGGATAGAGAACCTTCCTGGTGGAATCGAGTACCTGCGGGAAGTAGTGGTTGATGATAAGCTTGGGATTGGCGCGGAGATGGAGCAGCAAATGCAGGAGCTCGTGGACGGTTATTTCTGCGAATGGACGGAAACAATCCGAGATCCCAAGCGGCGCAAACACTTCCAACAATTCGCCAACACAGATGAGACAGTCGAGACTGTGGAGGTCATCAAGGAGCGTGGCCAAGAAAGACCCACCTATTGGTCTAATGAGCCTGCAAAGGCGGATTTCAGGGGCCACCAATGGTCCGGTCTTTCGTGGCAGCCTATGATCAAAGCAGACCATTTCTCGGATGGCATTACATCCGCAAACCTCAAACGCGGGGACACCCAGCTGGCTGTCTTCAAGATTAAGGGCAAATTCTATGCGACCCAGCAGATGTGCCCTCACAAGCGTGCTTTTGTCCTGTCCGATGGCTTGATCGGCGATGATGATGCCGGCAAGTACTGGGTGTCATGCCCAAATCACAAGCGCAACTTCGAGCTTAATGGGGAGCAGGCAGGTCGCTGTTCCAACGACGAGAGCATGAACATTGCCACATTTCCCGTGGAAGAGCGTGCTGATGGTTGGGTCTACCTGAAACTGCCCCCGGTGGACGAGCTGGACTCGCTCCTCGGAACAGAGAAATGGAAAGTGAAGAAGGGAGAAGCACCGGACCCATTCCAGAAATATGACAGGAAGTACCGGGGTATCCGTGGGAAGAAGACGGTTGAGAAGACACCGGCCAATAAGCGGGCGGTGCTATCTGGAGTGATTGATTGGTAGAGGCTGCAAATTCTCGCGTTGATGAAGTCGTCACGAAGCTATGTTAGATACCTGAGGTTGCCAGTGCGTCGGCTGGAAACTCATGTGCCAATTCTGTAAATTAATGAAGACAAGTCGATGTTAACAGCACTATTATTATACCTACGACAACTTTGCATATAGTATACAGAGACTTTGCTGAGTGAAGCATCGTTGTAAGGCCAAAGCCTGGATTTTGATACAAGAAACATAAGGAGGAATCATCTCATTCCATCATACGTATGGATGTCCCGGAAGCTTCCTTAAACGGCAGAGAGATTTTGTGTGGTCATTACTGTACGGGGGGTTAATTACTGCATAGGGGCACACACTTTCTTCCAGTTTTACTCAATTGTTTTTCGTTTCTATCATTTTTCTGTTATTCAAGACATCGCCTATTTCAAGGCAATTGAATCTAGTACCGTAGCAGGGAGGGACATATTATCACTACAGGAGATTAGGGTACGAAATATCACGTTCCAACTGCAGTTTGTCTAATGTATGGAATTTGATTGGACGGCCAACTGACTGCCGAACATCAGCCCATCGCGTGGTCTGTGCAGGCGGTGGGCACCTGATCTCCACTAACTGCTTTTAGTACCCATGGATCAATCCGTCCCGAGTCCTGAAAAACAACTTCCACCTCCCCTATTATTATCGTCGACACTCCCCCCCAGTCCCCCTTATCATCCACCCCCCTATCGTCCACTCAGATTCGCTTTACGAACCGTGGCTTGCTCTCTCACAACCTTCAATCTACTCCGTATTCACCTCAGCAATGTATCTTGAAACCATGAACCAAAAATGAAAAGAAAAAATTGGCTTCAGAGCTTCTGACACCGCTCCGAAACACCCGCCTTTTCTGAGTCTCCATCAAGATGGAGACACAATGCTCCTCCCATCCACCACGGATGACCATTCAGCAAGGTCGTTTCAGAGACTAGTCGGGACTAATTTGGAGGAGAGACTATAGCCGGTTAGGCAGATTGACGAAAGTCAAGCAACACCAAGAAACCGGGATGATCCATTCTCAGCGAAAATTTTTCTAGCTGCCGATGGAGATGGGCCTGAGGACCGAGGCCCACTTACCGGTCGACTTGGGCCTGTCACTGCCGTCTCGCTGCTGATACCTTACTGATAGATAACCAAGAAACCTTCCTGACTGTCCTGGGACCTCCGCGGAGTTGTTCTCCCCAGATTTACATCCTTATCAGCCTCAGTATCAGCGCCACGCCTATCAACCAACTCCTTTGCCGTGCAGGGTCCCTTTACCTTATCTCTTGGCCGGTTGGCCGGTTGAATCACCCTCGTTGGCCACTTCTCGTCATGGGTTAGAGAAATGGGTCTGGATCTTCTCTCCATACCACGAACCCTGAGGTCATCTCCGGCTAGTCCTGTGCTGCTGCTGCGCTACGAGCTGCGGTATCCACTACCATATTAGCACTTTCCGACGGGTGGATCACTGCGCGTCGCTCTCCAGATTGGCTTCATGATTTTTGCCCCGATTATGATTTTCCTGCTGCCGCACTGCCCAGTGCCATTACGAGCTGCTGAGAGATATGCGACTGGGCATGTGTCCTAATCTCGGGTTGACACAGTCATGGCTTTCATCTGTATATCTCCTAGGAGATAGAGTCATTGCTCTGGCATGGGGGATTGTTTGCCAGGTGCATCATTATACTGCGGTACTCATATCTTCATGCTTCGGAGATGTGATTCCAACCATGGTCTATATATGAAGTGCAATTTTCTCCCCCTAGTCTGGAATAAATCTGCCTCCCCTGTCCTAGAACACAGGAAAACATCCGGACCCATAGCACCGTCGTCTAGCCTAGCGGTCCGTTGGTCTATTCTCTTTTTCGCACCCGGGTGGTGTTTCCTATTGCGGTGCCCTCGAGCTCAATCTATAGTCCTATTACTCTTCTTGTGTCTTGTACTTCAGTTTCTATTCCTAAACCACCACTCAGACACCTTCGTACACGGTGTGACTGACCATGGATTTCATCAAACTTCTCTTTGTCTCGCCTGAGATCAACCCAAGTAATCGCAAAGCACAGTCTATTCCAGTTCTCAACCCATTCGATCGATATGGACGGGTTTTCTTCTTCTCATGGCTCGGGTTCATGGTTGCATTCCTCTCGTGGTATGCTTTTCCGCCATTGGTGAGTGGGAGAGCCTTCCTCCTTGACCAGTACGAAGCGAAATGACTAACACTCCGAGCTCAACTAGTTGACCGTCACAATCCGAAAAGACCTGCATATGACACAGCAAGACGTGGCAAACTCGAACATTGTTGCCCTGCTAGCAACGTAAGACACAGAACCCTCACATGTGCAAAACAAGCAGTTGACCGATTGTCTAGACTACTTGTGAGATTCGTGGCAGGCCCTCTGTGTGATCGATTCGGACCGCGGCTGGTGTTCATCGGACTGCTGCTCAGCGGTTCGATCCCCACTGCCATGGCTGGTCTGGTCACCACGCCTAAGGGACTGATCGCGCTACGGTTTTTCATTGGGATTTTGGGAGGCACATTCGTGCCCTGTCAGGTCTGGTGCACTGGGTTCTTTGACAAGAAGATTGTCGGAATGGCCAATGCCCTTGCGGGAGGTTGGGGTAATGCTGGTGGTGGCATCACATAGTACGTTGTCAACTCTCGGAGGCAGCATTGCAAGACGTCAACTGATGCATTTTAGCTTCGTGATGCCCGCTGTCTACGATTCGCTGGTCTACTCGCAAGGCCTCACACCACACAAAGCCTGGCGTGTTGCTTTCATTGTCCCTTTCATCATCATTATCGTTATCGCCGTGGCGATGCTCTTCTTATGCGAGGACACACCCACGGGGAAATGGTCAGAGCGCCACCTCTGGGCTCGAGAGATGGCTGGCGAGTCAGACGGCAACATTGTCGACCTCAAGGCGGACGTGAGATCCGCACAGCCTTCCAGCACGCCATCTATGACCAACGTCATGGCAGACGTGGAAAAGAAAGGCGCACAAACCCCCGTGTCTCTTGGCTCTAATTCCCAGACCATCGCCGAGTTCGATGCCCTCCGAACGGATACTGTGGTGGCCCCCACACGCAAAGAGGCCATGGGGGTACTGTTCAGTCTATCCACCGCCGCCGTCGCCATCCCTTACGCCTGCTCCTTTGGTGCAGAGCTCGCCATCAACTCCAACCTGGGCGAATATTACTCCGCGAACTTCCCCCATATGGGTCAGACCAAGACCGGGCAATGGGCCGCCATGTTCGGTCTGCTCAACGTCGTCTTTCGCCCCGCGGGCGGTTTTCTAGCCGATCTGCTCCTTCGACGGACGCAGAATCTGTGGTCGAAGAAGATCTTGCTTGTCTTCCTTGGCGTCGTCATGGGTGCATTTGAATTGGCGATCGGGCTGACGAATCCCAAGTCCGAATCCACCATGTTCGGGCTCATCGCTGGGCTTGCGTTTTTCTTGGAGTCGTGCAATGGTGCCAACTTTGCCTTGGTGCCGCATGTCTATCCGTTTGCCAATGGTACGTTCTCGCTGAAGCTGTCTTTTTGATCTCGGGTATACTAACGGATGTGCAGGTGTTGTCTCCGGTGCAGTGGGAGGAATGGGCAACCTTGGCGGGATCATCTTCGCGATCATATTCCGCTACAATGGTTCGGACTACTCCAGGTCCCTCTGGATCATCGGGGCGATTTCGATCGGGGCGAACGTGCTTGTGTCGTGGATCCGACCCGTGTCGAAGAAGCAAGTTGTACAACGGTAGAGCGGTTGTTCTGCTTCGAATTATTGTTTTCTGGTTTATTGATGACTGATTTTATGATGGATACCAAGCGCGTACTTCTCTTCTATGATGTTCTTAATCTCGGGTTTACGATATGATATATAACCTTTGGCTCACCACAACTTCCACAAGACACCCACGCTCCACAATGTATAAAACCACACCTTCCTCGCCCATGAATTTGGAAGTATAAACAACAGCAACCACAAGCTCCCTGCGAGTATTTACACCAAACCGGGACCCTAGCATCATAACCTCACCTCTCCGCACCACTCAGCAAACAACCTTGTACAGCAGTATATATCTCCGCCAAGCCCACCTCACCAAGCCGTCAAGATCACCACCACACACCCGTCTCACCCCACGACTCGGGTCAAAACACCCCGAGCCATTCAAAAAGCTCAATGAACCCCTCCTTCCATCTCCTAAACAAACCCTCACAACCTTCAATCGCCATAAACCCATCGCCCACTCCCTCCCAATCTCAAAGCATCGCAAAGCAACTCATCACCACCACCACCAACGACACCTCACCGACCCCCAAATCCCTTCTCCCTCCACCACAACCCCAACCTACACAAAATCAACAACAAACAATATCGAAAATGCCCGCACCCACCCGCCGCATCGCGCAGATTGTCCACCTCAAACCCGCCGCCGTCGCAGCGTACAAAGAATGCCACGCTAACGTCTGGCCCGAGGTGCTGCGGCAGATCCACGAGTGTAATATCCGGGATTGTAGGTCTCCTTCTCCTAGCTACCTATCTACCTGCCTACATCACCATACCACCCTAAGAAGAAGGCAAAACCCAACAGGAGGAAAAGACTGCCTAACCCCCTGGAACATACTCTGCACTCATGACACAACCCCCCCAAAAAAGGCTTAGCTACTGGGGCTGATACCCCGACATTTAGATTCCATCTTCTTCGACAACGAGCGGACGTTGTTCGCGACGTTCAAGTATATCGGGGAGGATTATGAGGGGGATATGGAGCGGATGCGGGCGAATCCCAAGGTGCGCGAGTGGTGGGCGATGACGGATGGGATGCAGGTATGTGGGATTCCTTCTTTGTTCTCTCTCTCCCTAACGGAGGGGGTGTCGGGGTTCGCCGTATTGACCTTGTTTGATGGTGAAGGAGAGTCCAATCACTGGGGCTGTAGGTAGTGCTGAGGGTCCGGGTTGGTGGAAGGTGTTGGATGAGGTGTTCTATACGGAGTAGATTAGAGACTGAAAGAAAAGAAGAAGTTCAGCAAAGCATGATTAGATCTTTATGTAAGATACATGCAAGCTGTTTGAATACAAATCTCAGATCTTGAGGCTGGGCGAGAGATCCGATGCGAATGTCCAATGAGGTACATAGTGTCCCCCCATAACCAGCAGAAGACAGTGATACAAATCATGCGAAGATGGGTATCTTTCCGAGAAAACAATCCATTAAGTAACACGTGCTCCTCCAGAACGCCATTTGCAATGTCATGTGCTTCGAATAAAAAAAAGCCGATAACCAAGTCGTCGTCGTCATAGCTCAAGCATACCGCCAGGGTACGGAAGCTGCCGTGTTACTTCACTCGGAACCGCCGGGGACGTCCTTCAGGATCTCCCATCCGTATTCCTCTTCTGGCTTCTCGGGCTCCATCCCGAGGGCGTTGCGGTAGGCACGCACTTCGTTCTGGAGGCCAGCCACGATGCGGATCGGGGTTTCCTCTTCCTCACAGCGCAGGCGATAAGCGGTGCGGATCATTTCGGCGCATTTCATGGTCTGTGCATGCCAGTAGTCCCGATCCAATCGACTTTCCAGGTGGGAGTCTCGCTCGGCTTGGAGAAGGTTGTTATAGTGACGTTTCTGCGCGACATAGTGAAGGTTGTTGTTCTGGCAGTAGTTGCGAATCTGTTCCACCATAACACCCACGGCCGCCTCGTATTCTCCAAGCAGTTTCGTATTTTCGACCTGCTCGTTCCGAAGAATTTCAACGAGACGTTTCTCTTTCGCGAGGGCGCGCTCAAGTTCCGCAATGCGGGCAGCTGGGCTAATTAGTATGGTGCTCACGTATCGGATGGTCATTCCACCAACCTGAAAGTTCGCCATTCACTTGCTGAATGCTCGGGTTTACTCCTTCGGCAGAAGAGCGTTTCTAAGACCGTCAGCAATGCGAAGCCCATTTTCCAGGTGGAAAAAATCATACCATGATCTCCTCCGCACTGTTGACAATACTCTTTGTAGTCTCACGGTTGTTCTTCAACACCTCACTCAACTCAAGGACCATGTCGTAGAGATGATGAAGATCCATCTGCTGTCCCGCATTGATGGGCATACCACCGTTCATCCCAGGCATTCCGGCGCCATTAACCTGACTAGGGGTATGTGGCATGGCAGGCGACATAGATTGACGAGGAACATTAGACATGTTCGGGCCACCTCCGGTGTTATCCACGTAGCCGGCGTACATGTTTGCGCCGGGATTGTTGCCAGCCATGCCCCCAGCGTTATTCAAGGACATGCTTGCCGCCTCGAAAGCGCGGTTCAAGGCTTCAAATTGAGGGTCTCGGGCAGGATTGGTAGATGCGGGAAGCTTGAGATCGTCGTCGAATCCGAAACCTGGGCTCTCTACGCCAAGAGCCTCTTTTCGGAATTTGTCGAGGTCGCGACGAGTAACGTGGGTGGAACGACGACGATGTCCACGGACAAAGGCTGCCTTGGAAGCAGACGGGGTTGTGGGCGCGTTGGTGGTGCGGCGGACTGGAGAAACGGGTTCACTCTTGATCCTTCGGTCGGGTGGAATCAATGGGCTGAGATCGGGAAAGGAAGAAAAATCAAGTGTTGGAAAAGCGACCGCTGCAGATACAGAGGCAGAGGCAGGAGCTGAAGCCACAGACGAAGAGGCCAGATGAGGTTGGCGATTGTGGCCGTCGTCATTGCGCTCCGTGTTGTTCACTACTCCCGGTGTTGAGCCAAAAGGGTCAAGCGCCGGAGATCCGGAGAAACTCATCCGAGCACTAGCCCGGTTAGCGCCATAACTGGGGGCGGTGAAGACATCGGCTTCTCCCATCTTGGACGATTCATGAAATGGGCTGGAGGCTGAGGTAGAAGCACAGGCACACGCAGGGTCAGGCACATGGAGAGTTGAGTGAGATTGAGAATTACTGTCAAGGGTGTTAAGATAAGATGAAGGAGTAGGCGTAGCACAATAGAATTAACACAATCCCCGAAAGAAGAGAGGAAGAAAAAAAGAAATAGGAAGAAGGAAGAAGGAAAAGCAAGCACAAGCAGCAGCAACAAGCAGCAGCAGCAGCAGGTGCGCCCGGGACCTGCACAATTAAGAATAAACAACTCAACAACTGACTTACTCACTTAACTGGCACCTGCGGTGGTTAACGCAACTGTAGGTCAATCGTTGCCTTGCCCCCTTGCACCTTTCCAGAATTCTACCAAACTGCATTGGAAACTTTCTCCCCCTAATTTTAGACAGAAACAACGGCAGACCCGGTGATTGGGATCATCTTGCTGATGAGGATTGTGTAGGGCAATCTGATCCATGTAGCTGTGCTACCAGTCTCGGCCGCTGTACCTTTTCCGGGGAAAACAATTAGACAGATGGTATTTATGTATATGCAGCCTCTAAAGCATGTGGTCCACCGGGTTCTCTTGATTCCGTGATTTTTTGTTTTGATTTTCTACCTGTTTTTCCTTCTAACCATTTTTGTTTTTCTGTATACCCTCATCCCCGTTCGTTCTGCTAGAGTTCTCTCATTCAGCCATGTCCAACAAGGCTTCCAACTTCTCATCCCCTTCTAGCGAGTACGAAGCGTCCTGCTCGTCATTGTTGAGCTTCTTCTTGCCCTGCTCAATCCGACCCCCTACGCGTGCAACCAGCATCCGCATTTTGTCCAGCTCTTGAACCAACTCTCCATCTCTTGTGACCAAATTCGGTTGGATGTTAGCCTGCGGGTTCTGGAAGGGCTCCAGTAAGCGCTGTAGCTGTCGCAACTGGTTCAACCGCCGCTGTCGCTGTTTCCGACGACTGTCCAGGGCGACCAGATGTTCGCGTAGCTCTTGGTATCTGTACTACTGTTAGTCAGATGAAATTGAAACCTGCCATCGAGGTAATCCATACCTTGCTCGGTCCTCATCACTCGCATTCGGATCCTCCAATTCCAGGGGCAATTGCGCGATATTCCTGGGATACAGTCAGACTGTCAAACTTTGAAAAGTCTTATCTCGTAGCCGAGAAAGACTGAGGCGTAGCTCACAGGTGGTTGGATAAATCCACAGATTGTTCCACCCCTTGGAGCAAAGAGCCCCGGTCGCGCATCGAATCATTCACGGAGGACCAGTAAAGACGTGCGATTTGCTGTGCGACATGTTGAATGGCCTGGGACGAGTAAACGATCCGACTGTGCTGTTTCAGAGACGCATTTACTGTGACCGAGTCAGTCCTGACCAAATCAAGATTGGGCCGATATTCAAGATGACAGCAGAAAATCCATAAATTTGACACTCGAGACAAGTACTCACATCTCTTTAGAGCATCTCCGACCACCTTATCGCTCAGCTCATCCTCGGTGGACTGAGACGCATAATGTCGCCAATCCTCGGGCGGCTGGAGGCTTTCAGACAGAATGCGCACTTGCGCTCGGATGAAGGACGACTTCAACTCGGAAATGGTACGGGTCGAGTCCATGGCCCCATAATGACGATGAGTCGGTGGTTTTGAGATAGGAGGAGATTCAATTGATTCTCGCCGTCGACGCGTGCCGCCTTCCTATCGATAACGCGGCCACGTGATCATTTACGACTCACCCGTACAACGACCGGATGATCAAACATTAGCTCCTTGCATTTGTTGCATCCTCAAGAGGTCTGCAGACTATCCTGCAGCTATGCCATAGACACCGCCACCTGGGAGCCGAGGTGATACCCCAATGGAGCTGATTGGCATTGATCGATGAGAAAGCGCCATTGCAGGTCCTCTATCTAACCTCGGCAATCTGGCATTACTCCGCAGGAGAGACCATCAATGTCCAACATTGATCGGCAGCGCATTTCTACATTTAGTGACTTGACATTTGTTGAACTTCTGATGCGACTTCCGTCCACTTACCCTAAGCTGCGCTGAGTTGCACAGATTCATCATGTCAGACAACCAACGACCTAGAGGCCTCCTGTTCGACATCGGAGGAGTGTGTGTAAGACCGAGGCACCTCTCCATGCAGATCCAGACATCTGAACAGCCAGATACTAATGATCACTAGGTCTTCTCCCCCTTCCAGGCCATTCTGGACTACGAACTTGCCCACAACATCCCCCCAGGATGGGTGAACTTCAGCATCTCGCGTACTGCGCCCAACGGCAGCTGGCACCGACTCGAACGAGGGGATATCAAGATGGATGCCGACTTCTTCGCCGGGTTCCAGAATGACCTACAGAACCCGAGTCTCTGGAAGCAATTCCAGGAGAAGATCCGGGGCGAAAATCCGACCGGGACGCAGTCGCCCAGCCCTCCGGTGCCTAAGCTCGATGCCGAGTTTCTGTTCTGGGAGATGATGAGGGTATCGCGAACGCCGGACCCTCACATGTTTCCGGCCTTGAAGAAACTGAAGGAGTCAGGGCAATTCATCTTGGGGGCGCTGTCGAATACCGTCATCTTCCCGGACGGACATCCGTACAATCGTGATCTCGACGAGAGGAAAAGCCAGTTTGACTTTTTCATATCATCGGCACATACAGGCCTTCGGAAGCCGGACCAGAAGATCTATGAAGCTGCACTGCGGGATATGAATCGAATCGCCAAGGAGAAAGGTCAAGGCGAGGTGCACGCAGTGGATGTGGTCTTCCTCGATGACATCGGGGAGAACTTGAAGGGCGCAAAGAAGGCAGGGATGAGGACTTTGAAGGTGAATCTTGGACGAACGCAAGATGCTGTTCGAGAGCTGGAGAAGATGACTGGTCTCCAGTTACAAGCAGGTTCAGATAAGGCGCGACTATAGAGGCTGGTTGGCCTTTAGTTGTTGCCAACACTTTTGATTACTACTGCAAGTGTAATCTTCTGTGGTAGACTTTCGAGGTAATATATCTGTCAATAATTGCTAAAGTAGATTCTGCAATCGAATTGAATCAGAAAATCCGCTTATTGCAGATTGGCATACTGTTGGGGTATACTTGGTGTTCTCTGTATAGTAAGGTGGCCAAGCGGCCGCCCGCTCGTCGCCAACCGCAATTCCTGGCCGGGATGCAGGCAGCGCTAAGCGAGGCCTTCCACAAAGTCAGTCCACGAATTTTCCCTCCTTCTTCCTTTGCAGCCAACGTCGACAACTCGGTCCTCATCACCCGGTCACCGTCAAAATGGTGAGTTAGACCTCGTTCTAGCACCCGAACAATTAGAATTTCAATACACGATCTGCGATTGTTCTCGACTGCTCCTTCATCTCCAAATGGGATTTCGATTTTCCCACCACCCCCCGCCCTAGCGGGATTTGTGGGACGAAATTTCGGGTCTTTGCAAGATGCTTCGGACAAGTCGGATTTCCTTCTGAAGCGCAAATTGCTGACTCGCATGTTTTCGTGATCTAGCCTTTCCACAAGCAGGTCAAGAACAGCGCTTACTACAGGTGAGTTAATTTTTTGGTTCGCCGGTCGCATTGGATGAGGTACTAATTAATTCCACAGCCGCTACCAGACTAAGTACCGTCGTCGCCGTGAGGGTAAGACCGACTACTATGCCCGTAAGCGCTTGATCACCCAGGCCAAGAACAAGTACAACGCCCCCAAGTACCGCCTGGTCGTCCGCTTCACCAACCGTGACGGTATGTCTACTCCACTCTTCGATCGATCTACATGGGAAACGCATTCTGACTGACTTCCGGCACAGTCATCTGCCAGATCGTCTACTCTGAGATCTCCGGTGACAAGGTTTTCGCCGCTGCCTACTCCCACGAGCTCAAGCGCTATGGCATCACCAACGGTCTGACCAACTGGGCTGCCGCCTACGCCACCGGTCTCCTTGTCGGTCGCCGTGCCCTCAAGAAGCTCAACCTCGACGAGACCTTCACTGGTGTTGAGGAGGCTGATGGAGAGTACACTCTCACCGAGGCCGCTGAGACCGATGATGGCGAGCGCCGCCCCTTCAAGGTCGTCCTCGACGTCGGTCTTGCCGTGAGTTTTCCCGGATTTCACCTAGCGCTTGAACCAAGCTAACGATTTATCATAGCGCACCTCCACTGGTGCCCGTGTCTTCGGTGCCATGAAGGGCTGCTCTGACGCTGGTGTCCTCGGTATGTTCCCACAGCGTATCCATCTCAATCGAACTCGGTGCTAACAAAACTCCATAGTCCCCCACTCCGAGTCCCGATTCCCCGGTTTCGACATCGAGGCCGAGGAGCTCGACGCTGAGACTCTCCGCAACTACATCTTCGGCGGTCACGTCGCTGAGTACATGGAGGGTCTCGCCGATGACGACGAGGAGCGCTTCCGTGGCCAGTTCCACAAGTACACCGAGGCTGGCATCGAGGCCGGTGATATCGAGGACCTCTACACCGAGGCCCACAAGGCCATCCGCGAGGACCCCTTCAAGAAGGACGAGGATGCCGACTCCAAGAAGACCAAGGAGGAGTGGAAGGCCGAGAGCAAGAAGTTCCGCAAGGTCCGCCTCACCCACGACGAGCGCAAGGCTCGCGTCGAGCAGAAGATCCGCGAGCTTGCCGCTTAAATGGATTTTTGTTGTGGAGGCCATTCGTGCTTGATACATACGTGAAGCGCGATAGTCACAAAACAAAAGTTGAAATATCCTTTTTAACACAAATCCAAAAACGGTGACCTGGGTGTCTTTCTTCTTGCTAACTGATTTCTCAAATTTGTGATATCCCCAAGTAGTCTTATCGGAGACTGTTGACACGACCGGAGTTTTTTCTATTTTTTGTCTTTTGTCCAAGGTTCATTCGGAGCAACCACGTCCTTCAATGCGAATCTCTTTCCCAGTTTCACCAACCATCTCTTTATCTGCTCCGATGAACCGCGTAGCTGTAGCGTAGAAGGCTGTACCGTACCGAGTATGCCAGACCAATGCTCGTGGCACTGACAAATGGTTTCCTGCATGAATCCCTGACTTCTTGATGTCATCTGTCAAACGCACATAATTTATTCAATGAACGGAGCACACTTATGTACTACTGTGAATTATTGTCTGCCAGGAACCTAAGGTATCGCTCCGCTGCAGTCATTCGTTTCATGCATTGCTCTTCGGCAACCCTCGAACAAGAACGACCGCGGCATTCGGATTTCGAGGGTAATCCCCGGAGCGTACTGCCGAATCTGGCAGATTCTTCGAACCCGCGGCCGCCCTAGCCGTCCGTCAATCCCCTGGGCCCGTCCGTCCCGGCTGGCATTGAATTCTCCTCGTCTATCTTCGGATATACGGGTTCAGATTGAGTGCCGGCACCATATCCCGACGACATCAGGGGTTTTGGTGTTGAGCACCTCCGGCAATCGGTACAGAAACCTATTCAAACATGCCTCTCAAATGGAGCATGTACTGTACTGTACTGATCCATCGGTCTAATTACGATCTATATCCGAGACTTATGGGTTGCTGTTCACCGGACGAGAAGATCCGTGGCTCAGGAACTCGTGCCTTGTCATTCTACCGTCGTCGACGAGTGCCTTGCTCTTCTCCATGGCCTCCAAGGCTTCATCATACTGGTCTAGATCCCGCACCTTCCGGGTCGCGAAGGCCTCGAGCTCTTCCGCGTTGTCGGAGTCTCTCTCGCGCCTCGCCCATTCCGTGGGTCCTAGATGGCGGCGCAGTTGGGTGAAAGGGAATGAGCGATGGTCATTGAAACCAGAAGAGAGGAGCATGTGCAGCCACATGGCCCCAGAGGCGCGCGACCACTTTACCAGACTGGAAAGCTCTCGCTCATCATGCCCTAGCATTTTCGCTTCCTCCTCCTCCAATACGTCTATAAAGATGTCTAGGCATCTGAAGTAGCGGGCGGCAATTTCGGGCGGCTCGTCACCGGTGAAATCCCATGAGCTGTTGACGGGCCTGTCTTGGAGAAGCCACCACGGCGCCGAGTCGAACAGCTGCGCGTGTCCAATGTACGACCACTCGAGGTCGATTACACCGACAACAGTCAAGTCTTTACTGCCACGGACGATCAGATTCGCCAGACCAAGATCGTCGCAAATCAGCTGAAATTTGCAGCGGTCATACTTCGCATTGACCAAGTCAGGTATCAGTGCTCGTAGAACCTCGAACGCTAGGTATTTGTTTTTCGCATCGTAGAAGCCAACAGTTGAGTTTGGCTGGCGGATGAGCTGTTCCCAGTCTTGGTCGGCGACGTATTGAAAATACTCCGTCGTTGTCGATAACCACTGGGTTCGGTCGCCTGGACAATCCGTCGCTTTGTTAAGCACTCGCTCAGTCACAGCTTTGGGAGTCCAAAGTCAGGGGCAAGGCAAGGGGACCACACGTACCGAACGTGTTGACCCCTCCACTTTGCAGAATACTATGTGCCTTGAAGGTTAGCGGTCGTAGCAGTGTAGGACTTTGGGTGTCAGCCTGCGGCGACGGCAGACTGCCTATCTGGTCAAAAAAATCGAGTTCGAAAAGCTGGAGCATGAAATTCGCCAGTTGCCTATAGATGATCTCGAGGTCACGATCGCTAATGTCCTCCCGCATCACTCTGGTGGGGCACAAGGCGTTAGGGGCTTGGAGAAGGTGGCTAAGGCTCACGCCGTGAATGAAGTCCATGATGATGAACGGGCCGAGACCGAGCGGGTTGCTGGTAGCGGGCCCCCACGCGTGAACTTTCGGCACCGGGATCGTAGTGCTATTGTGGTAGAGATTCAGCGCCGTAACCTCCATGGCAACCTTCTCGTCGATGAAGTCGTCGCAGACCTTTCCTACTCGAGGGAAACGGACCATCCAGGCAGTGCCGTCACCGAAGACCATCTTGATGCCGGCATTGTACGCGCCATGGTGAAAGGTGCCATCCAGTTGACAGGGAAGCTGTTCGGGATGAAAACTCGACACCCAGCGGCAGAGATGACCTGCTCTGTAGGTTTCGTTCACCTTGTCGACCCAGAGCTGGCCTTGCACCTCGTGAATGAGATCGACAAGTGCGTTGGTATACATGGGGAAGGTGTCATTGCTTAGATGGCAGGTAGATAAATGACCGTGAACTAAAGAGGGGGGAGATGTGGTCAAGCGAAGCATGAGGTGGGATGATACGCTCATGCATGCATGCATGCATGCTGAGGATTGCTCCGTGCTCTCGGTATACTTATACTTACCCCGGACGCCGTATACTTGGAAGAGATTCTATTGAGCACATTGTGACTCGCATTTGCAGAATGGAGCTGATTGCTGCTCAGCCCTGAGACTGAGACATACCCGACTGTAAATAGTAAGTACTACTATTTCGGGTGGTTTCTCCCCACATCATCCATCGGGCCAAGTCTACACTAAGTCGGGTTCACTAATTCAACGGCCACCAGAAGAAATTTTCTTCTCTTGGGTTTCTTCCTCAGGCTCGGCGGTGCCGCCATCCCCTGGAGAAAGGCTGCCTGCCCCGGTGGAGTACTTCGATTCTACACTGCCTACTCGCCCACTTGGCACTTTAAACACTCTCCCCAATATGATGGGGGATCTTCTTCATACACTCCCTTGGAATCTTCTTCTCTTTCCTCCCCCTCCTCCTTCCTCTCTCCTTCGTCATCCGGCTATACCATGCCTAATCTTAGTTCTGGTTTGATATGTCTTGTACCTGATGTTGACCCTTCTGCTGTGGGCTCTATTTCTGCTGCCTTCGGCGCAGGCCGCCTTTGTTCGTCGCTGGGATTGCAATCCTTCCATTACTGCACCCACTGAATCCATCAGCTTTCAGCAGCAATCCTTAACTGGCTCACTGGTTAACCCAGAGCATGATGGCCCGACGCTACTTCTTAAGCTAACAGGAAATTATGAATCCGAGTGTAACTCTCTCAATGGGTCCCTGGCACAGTTGGTGGTGAATGCGAGTGTCCTGGGCGGTCCGGTGGGCTTTCAGGGAGACAGTAGGGGAAGATGTGGCGTAGACCCTTATTGGGAGCGCTTCACTATGTCGAGTCAAGGCCAAATACAAGCCCACATGAAGGGAGGCCTTCACAATTATGCCATTTACGAGACCTCCTACCATCTCAACCACTCCTATGCCCTGCACACACTAGACACAACCATCCATCTGTGGTTGGACGGCCAGGAAATAACTTGTGTCACTGCCCATATCACGCCTTATATCGGCCCAGTGACATCGAAGTTAATGAAAGCTCTTCCATTCTTGATTATGGTCTTGTTTGGAATAGCTACAGGACCACTCAGGCTCTTTCATACAAATGGAAGAAGCATGTTTCGGTACGAGCTGGCCGACCCATCCCGAGACCCAGCCCAATCCCACGTACAAGGACTAGGCGATTGTCTACAATTTCTTCAATTCATCTTCTTGACCAGCTGTCTCACGCTTTCATACCCGGGCTTCTTCCGAGCAATCGTCGGGGAGTTGGCCTGGTCGTCGCTCATCTTCCGGAATTGGCCTGTCACACATGGATTCGCCTACCCTGGTGTTCAAGATGGTCTATATGCCACTAATTCGACTTGGGGCCTGGAGGAGATGACGCAGGTCCTCGGTGGGACTACCATCAGTGATCTCTGGGTCAATGCAATTGTCAATCTTCTCCTCGTCATCGTGGGGATCGTGGCGCTGGTGCAAGTTCCTTTCGGATTCCAATGGGCGTCGAGGATTTTCCGCAGGCGACAAGCGATTGAGCTGTCGGACCTTCAAGAAGAGTCATTGAAACAATGCCAGCGTACTGGATGGAGTATCCTTCGAGCGGTGCTCGACCATTTCCTCTTCCCGCTGGTAACCTTCTCTACAAGTCAACTCCTCCTGACATCATGGCATCCGGCCTACCGTACCTTCTTCGCGGTTTTGGTTGTTGGTCTCCTTGCTGTGTCTTTGGGCTTTACCGTGCGGTATCTGATCAAGACCAACAGACAATGGGCCTTTTCTCACGGAAGCTTGTTTCCCAAGCATCATTCCGGAACGTGGGTTTCCTGTGTCTTGTACGGCATTCCGATTGTAAGAGGCATAGCGATCGGGGCATTGCAACGATCGGGCCTTGCCCAGGTTGTAGTTCTCATCATTTGTGAGACACTCAATCTTGTCTGCCTGCTTTGGAACTGCCAGGACTTTCCAGCCTGGCGACCTGCCTGCTTTTCGATTGGAAGGCTTGCCAGCCTTGTTATGAGCTGTGCCTTCCTCCCGCAGTCTGAGGCACCCCAGCGCAACCAGGGTATATTAGCATACAGCATCCTATTCCTATATGCAACGATGATGTTCTTCGGGTTTCTCGTCCCTTGCATCATAAGCATAGCGCTCTTTATACTTCGCAAAGTGGGACTCGTGCACTCCCATCGTGGCCCCCTCGTGCAGCCTCGAGAAGCACCGGTATGTGGATACAATCCAGACAATCAATAACTAACTTAGCCCGAATGACTAATGGGTCTTTTCCTAGATTTATGGCATTGGTCAACTTTCGCAACGATCAACGCGGAAGACTTCATTCACGGAGCTTCCAGAGCTTCGCCCCGTGGGTGTGTATTATCTGAGCATAGTATCTTGGCGACTGTGATATGCTAATGAAGGCCATCTCAGCCTATCCTCCATCCACAGGGATACCGAGCACGAATGAATTTCCATCGTACTTCCGGGCTCCACGGCCCATGACTCCCGTTTCTTCATCGTCGCACCATTTCGCCACCCTCCCAAGGCAGTCTCACAGCTCGGATGAATCGGTGGATTCCAGCATGGACTCTGTCGACCTGAGCATCCTGGACGAAGACACGACGACGATCAGCGGCGACGGCGATTATTCCAAACGCGAGGCCGACCAATACTACGGTCGGCCGATGGCATCGCAGATCAATGCTAGGGTAGAACGAACGGAAAACACCTGTGCCACAGGGGAGGACCGATCCTGGCGATCGTCGTGGAAGTCGAAGAAAAAGACCAAAGGCTTCGAAGTTGTGAGGCCCGCCCGCCCTGGGATGTGATGATTGCCTTTTGAACCCCACTTCGAAATTCGGAATAATGCTAGCTTGCGATATCATCTAGAGATGACCTTACGCTTTGCTCCAATTTTTCTATCTATGATATAATAATGAAGGCTTGGCTGAGGCGAGAATAAACAACACTGATAAAGTTCTGTCCTACCTGGGAACCCCAGGGTTGAATCCGCCATGGGAGCCCTCTCGTCATATGTGGATCGAAAAGTTAATTGTTGTCTTTATTCATATCTTGCATCAATGGACCAGTTTCAAGGGCTACTATTATTGACCTGTGTCAATAAGCTTTTCTGCAGTCTGCACCTTGTTGACAGGGTTGCTTTGTTTGATGAACGGGCAAGCATTCATTTCATCATAGCCACTCTTTGAAGTACAGCGCATTACCTACAGTACGGTACCCAACGGAAGGTCTCATTGGCTGTTGAGGTGGGCGACCTTTTTGCTTAATTGTTGGCTACATTCCTTAGTACCGAGCAGTCATGCAAGCGACGAGGTCAGTTGTAGTCAGCAGCTGAATGATTGACTTCATGACGCAGAGCGGTTCGCGTGCAAAGCACATGGTGTATCTGTGAAATAGATCTTCTCAGCTTGTGAGGTGACGAGGTCATGTGCCCGGGAGGTACAAAAATTGAGAACGGGTTTTAGTGCGGATCTGATAGGTCGAGGAAAGAGAGAGGATGACTGGGCAGGCAAAATGCGGACAGCGCATACCAGTACTAGGTAGTTATGGTGGTGGGGTAACAGACCAACAACATGTTCATATGATATTTTCCATGTGCTGTACAGTAGACGATTGTCTGAGTCAAATCAATTTCTTTTCTCTTTCTCTCTCGCTCTTTCTCTCTCCCTCCCTTCCACCCTAATGTGGGTTCCCAAGCCCTGAAATTCGTCACTGTTGTAGAATACTAGGGTAAGTATTGTATGGTCAGGCTTGGCAGAGTGACGAGTGGCAAGCGACTTGAATGAATGGGCGATGAATGGGTCTGGTCTCCGTCATCGGCCGTGGCTGCATAATACGAGGGTTACGAGGTTTGCAAACCAGCGGAGTTGGCCCAATTACTACCAAGTTACTAGTAATCTAGTACCTTCGTTAAGTTACCAACCTTTACTCTTGACCTTACTACTAATCAAGTAACATTGGTTAATTACCTACCTTTACCACCCGTGACCTTTCCATTTCCATTTCCATTCACTTCCGTGCCTTTTCTTCCATCCGCCAAGTAACAGCACAGAGAAGGGAAAAAAGAGGGACAAATAGGAAAAGGGAAAAAAAAAAAGAGAGTAACATAAGAGAGCGAGGGACAGAAGAGACCCAAGGAAGAGAAGTAGAGTAAAGAACTCGAGGACTGAGTATTATTCTCCTTTTCTCCACCGGCTACTGGATAATGGATAATCATGCTACTTTCCTAGTCTAGTCTCTAATCGGCGCCCCTCCCCCGATCGCCTCGTTCTGTGCCCGCAAAGTCCGCACCTTTCCTGTTCTTCCTTAAACTACCCCGTCTCCATCGTCCCATAGATTGATATTCCCCTTTGCTTCCTTCACTTGACTTGACTTTCTCTTCCCTTCCTTGTCCACTTTACCTTCCCCTTCCCACCCCCCTTTTACTATTTTATACTACACTTCTCCTTTAGATGCGCGATTTATCTTTGATCCGCCTCACGATCGCAACTGCATGACAACCCCACACCGTCAGTCAGCTCCGTCATGTCCGCTGTGTCTCGCCGTCATGTCATGATGGAACCTACCCGCCGTCGCCGTTCATAATTGACTACTTCACTGATCTGCATTGCGCATTCTTCGGCTTTTCCATCGTTCCACCGTCGCTCCAACATTCTTCGGCCATACTTTGACTGCCTTTTTGAACGACCATTGCCACCACATCGTCTCTTTTCTGTTGTTGCTCGACAGGTGGTGCTTGGGGTTCGAAGTTCGCAGCTGCAGCCTCTCAAATAACCTCTCCACAAAATCCTATATCGGCTCTATTACGTCACCCTCAATCACACTCGCAACAACACAAACGCACCGGTGGTCA